AGAGACTGTAGTTTAATGCATTTGTTCTGCTTGTTTCGCATACAGTTCTACTGTGTTCATGTTGAGACATTTTTCATAAATTCAAACACAATTTTCCTGTTTCCTCTGCAGTTATGATGTCAGTCAGAAGATACTTTGCATTTTCAGCTCATGCCTCAGTGCTCTGGGAGGGTTTATATTCCAGGAGGTTTAACACTTCATGACTGACAGCTGCCCTTCATCACAACAGACTCCAAACAAACATGACTTTCATCAGCCTCAGCATCTTGCTCTTCATCTTCACTCACGGTAAATAACTTGTGTATTTTGCAGCCCTCTGCTTAAAGAGATGTGAATTTATAAATTTAGACACCTGGAGCTTCTCGGTGTGACAGTTTTGTTTAATTCAGTTTTAAATATTTTCTTATTTTGTATTCATTTTCAGAATGCAGAGGACAAGTGACTGTGACTCAGACTTCAGAGCTGATATCAGCTTCCTCAGGACAGAAAGTAACTATAAACTGTAAAACCAGCAGCTCTGTGTATACTGATAGTAATGGCCCCCGCATGGCCTGGTACCAGCAGAGACCTGGAGAAGCTCCTAAACTTTTGATCTATTTTGCAAGTACCCGTAACTCTGGGATTCCGTCTCGATTCAGTGGCAGCGGATCTAGTACTGACTTCACTCTGACCATCAGTGGAGTCCAGGCTGAAGATGCAGGAGATTATTACTGTCAGAGTGTTCATAACATTGGTAGTGACTGGCCAAACACACAGTGATACAGAGCCGTACAAAAACCTCCCTCAGTCAGACTGCACAGTGACTGCACTGCTGCAGCTGGGACTCACTGCAGGTGCTGAGGGGAATGTCATGACTTGAGCCCCCCATAAAGCAGATTAGTCATAAATACATTTTATTTTATTTTAATAATAACCCCAAACCACTGTCACCTGACAGAGCTACAGCAGATCCACTTACACCCTGATACCGCTGGTGACAGGAAAGTGGAGACACAGAGACTCCGTGTGTAGCACTGTTACCTCACACCTGCAGGGTTGGGGATCACATCCTGTCTCATGTCTTTGTGGGGGGGGGTTTGCTTGTTCCCCCCATATTGTGTGAATGTCTTTTTCTTGTGTGCGCCCATTGATAGAGAAGCACCTACTAAATACTACAGCTTCAACATGGGTAAGGTGGCAATTTCATATTTTTAAACCCCTTTAAGGCTCTTGCATTTTAGATATCACATCCACTGTCATTGTCTATACAGCAAAAGTGAAATCATACTAAATGAACAATTAAATAACTACATTAAACAATGAATTGTTTATATGTGAAACAATGATTATACTAAGCTAAGTGTAGTTATGTAAATCTAGCAATGTAGAATCCCTACTGTAGGGTTCCAGAAGCATTTTAACGTTGTTGTTCTACTTTGGTGTTTATCACAGTTGGGTGTTCACTTTTTATGCATGAGTATGGTCTAGTATGCTGGCTCTTCGTGTATCATTTGAGTAGGACCTAATTGCAACATGGTTTTATATTTTTAGTAGGACTGTTCCAAGCCCCAGCACCACTCTTGATATACGCTTAGTGGATGGATGGGTATTTTTCATGTTCAAGGATTAAAAAGTTTTTTTTTTAAATGTATAGATGTAGCTGTTTCGTGATACATTCTGTTCTGTTGTTCAGTGGGAAACCCCTTCCTCAGGTGGGAACATCAAGCAAGAAAATAGAAAAGAAAAGATTTTTTATTTTTTTTTTAGAATCAAACCTTAGACAAGACCAAGACCTGAGCCTACTCCTCCATTCTGTCCATTTATGTTTAGATTTTACAACATAACAGAACACAGCATCCATTACATAAGCATACATGTTCATCACTGTCCTATATACAAATATCCATTCATATTTTGTAGCTGCTGATCCCGTGTAGGGTCACTCCGGCCTAGATCACATCCCAGGAAGCAGAGCGTATTATGGCAGGGCATGACAGAGAAGAATGAGATGAACCATGTTGTGGATCCAAACAAAAAGACCTTATTAAACTTCAAAAAAACTAAACTAACTAAACCAAAGGACCATGCTGGATCAAAACAAAACATGTAAATGACAAAACTAAGGCAGGGGGCAAAACAGGGACAACCATTACATACATAGCAGCAAACACAAGGCAACAACAGCTACAATACATTTATTTTAGGGCCGTCAAAATTAACGGGTTAACGCGGATTAATCCATCATCATGATTAATCTGATAAAATTTTTTAACGCAATTAACCCATCTGCAGCGCAGAATGATTCAAAATCACTGAAATGTCTCTGTCAACCCATTTCGGGTAGTTTTAGTGCGTTCCATTTCCCCTCGGAACTTGTAT